TTGCCATCCAAGGCTATAGAACCCAGTCTGTCCTGCTATTTTACCCATAGCTGGAGGGAGATGAAGAGGATTCATACCTTTCCCAAGGGTATTAGCACGTAAGTGAATGTAATGGATTCGACTGGAATTCGAATATGTGTGTGTGTGTGTGTGTGTGTGTGTGTGTGTGTGTGTGTGTGTGTGTGTGTGTGCGTGAGTGTGTATTAAATCAAATTTAAATTGAGCAGTCACCTACCACGACTGAGAGTTTAATATGCTTTTACGCAATTATCAGGCGGACGGTGTGTGTGAAAATACCTGTGTGCTGTCTTAAGTATACTTTCTTTGGAGCTGCTTATTCGTAGTTCTGTTTCTATATATATATATATATATATATATATATATATATATATATATATATATATATATATATATATATCGCACATTGTGTCCTTGTGCTAATAAAATAGTGCTCGATGGATGTATAATAAAGAGAGCTATAATTTATATTAATAATAAGTAAGGGGCTGATTTTAAGGTGTGCTATATTTACAGGATAAAGTGCTCAATATCAGAGATAAAGCGTATGTGAATATAAATATAAAAGTGAACATTGTAGACAACACTCAGAGGCGCGAGTGTTAGATTTTTTCTTGACTATTTATATATATGGGTCAGTGGTGCATTATGGGTAATCCATTCTTCCGGTTATTTTGGTGGGAGTGGCCTGTTTATTTATTTATTTGGGTTAATTTATTTTACTTGTTTTTTATTTTCATTTTTTATATATTTATTTATTCTTTTCGGTTTTCGATGTTTTATTAACGTATTAAAAAATCTTGAAGATTTGTTTAGGTCGCTTATTTAATAGTTTGTCTTGCTCTGGGAATATAAAGCTATTTATTCGTCCAATTTTTGGGTTGATTGCCGTAGTCTTTTTTGCTATTTTGGGGGTGGACAATTTTTACTTTGTTTATTATTTTATTTATTTATTTATTTGGATTCATTATTTTTACTTGTTTCTGCTAGCGATTATTTATCAGGAGCGTTTTGTTAATTAATTCATTTATTTGGATTAATTTTTACATATTTCTTCTTATTTATTTGCTTGTTTTTAATTTTGTATATTTTTATTTATTCTATTCGGTATTCGATGTTTGGGTAGCGTAGTATTTTTTTATCGTTATATAGCAGCTATAGCTATTTTCTCGTCCAATTTTTGAATTGATTTTTGTAATCTATTTAACTGTTATAGGTTTGTTAATTTGTTTATTGTTTATTTATTTGGATTGATTATTTTTACTTGTATTTTATATATTTATTTTTTATTTTTATATGTTCAATTTCGTCTATTCTAACGGGAGTGGTTTGTTAATTTGTCTATTCTTTGTTTGGGTCAATTTATTTTACTTGTCTTTATTATTTTGTTTATTTTTATTTATTCTTTTCAGTTTTCGATTTTTAAGTAACGTAGTAAAATTTATTTTCATGTCTGCATTTTGAGATGAGCTCAGATCGTTTATTTAGTAATTTATTTTGGTCTGGGAAGGTAATAATAGCTATTTTTTCCTCTAGGCAAAGTTTGCAGGTTTTGGATTGATTGTTGTAGGCTGATAATCTTTTCCTTATTTTCCATGATATATTAGATTGTACAGCTTATATTTTACATCATAAAGAAACAATTCATACAGAGAATTGAATAGCAACGTTAATGTGATTAATGGCGAAATCACTTCGCTAACAGGACTTAATGAGACATTAAATTACTATCATTTCCTTGAATAATAAAATCCTTATATTCGAGTTGTTTTCAGAAGACACATACCAAGTACTTTTGACAATTTAAAATTTGTCATCTTCAGGGCGCTATTTTCTCATACATAGGCAAACACTAAGACGAAACGTTTACAGATATTACTTACGTTGTTTTAACGAACGTCCTTCGAGATCAGTATTATTATTTGGCCATGTGAATTACATTCCATAATTGCATGAAGTGACAGATTATTGCAGGAAGGAACTTTTGCATTTGTTTTGGAAGAAACAGTTTTCGTTTTTTCTGAATTAATATCAGTTTTCATGTTTTTTGATTCTTTGAGTTCAAACGCTTTTCAGTTGGAGAAGATGTTTAAATTTTGCTATGAAATGTTGGTTTCTTTGGTTGCTTCCTTTATAACATGTCGAGTGTCGTTGGTTTATTTCATATCGAATACAGTCTTTCATGTTTCATAGAAAATAAATGCGATGGAACTTCAGTCAAGTTTTTCTTTTATTGTGTTTTTTTTCTTTGTGTGCAAACGAAAGATTTCTTTTATGGACATTAGTTCAGGTAGAAATTTGAATTAAGAAAACACACACACACAAAACGCTATAATGAAGAAATATAAGCGTGACTGTCAGTCTCATGGGATCACCACTCTCACTGGTTCTAGTTTTCAGCATTAGAGTCGAGTTCTGTTTGCTTGACAATAAGCGCTCTTTTTTTTTTAAACTGATGTTATTTTTCATCGTTAATAACGCTCCTGTGTTATTACATTAATATATACAAGCGCGTGCGCACACACATACTCTCTCTCTCTCTCTCTCTCTCTCACACACACACACACACACATATATTAATAATTACACGTATACCTACGTTTACAGTACGACTTAGACTTTCAGGGTCTGCACCTTCATTAGGTCCAAAAAGTTATGTACTGTTCAATGCATGAAAAAATGCGTTATTTTCAAGGCATTGAACATAATAGCGAGATTAAATTTTATTTTGGTTCCACTGCTAACCACTGGAAAACCCGGTATTACCACCATAAAATGACACTTAACAATATGCAATATTCACATAGCACGGCACTCTCTAATTTTCTCTGGTAATTTAAGACAGATAACTACATACCTGTAGTCAATTGGTATCTCATCGATAAAACCAAACATTTCACCCTCAACAAAGAAAAATATAATCTCTGCCTCTGAGGAAAAAGACATCGGTAATCATAGTATGCTGAACAAGTGTATTGAGCTTATGTCCACACGCATTCAAAGGAGGACCCCCCCCACCTTTTCTCAAATATTTCGATGCTGGTTAAGGCAATTAGCCTAACACCTGCTTTAATATCCCCACGGACTTACCTCTAACATTTTTTCATATTCAGTTGCTCCTAGCGTTTAGCAATTATTATACCCTCCGTTTCGTGTTTATTTAATTTGTTTTATTATTATTATTTTTAAATGTTTTATTTTTTATTTTTCCTCGCCTTATATTTTTTGTCTATCCATGTTTTTTTTTATTTGGTAACTACCATTTTTTTAGTTCGTATTGCAATAATCTTATCAGTTGACTTATTACACCTTAACGGATCAATTAGATAAAATAGAACTTAATCCATAAGACATTTGGTATGTGAGAGAGTATGACAGTCCAAATAATTATGAAGAAAGACTTGAAAATGAAATCGTACGAGAAACCTGTGAAGCGCATTGTTACTCTAGGACAGAAAGTTAGAAGGTTAGATAGGGAGAAGATCATCTTGAATAATTTGGAAAATGATCCGGGAAAAAAATTATATATTTGAATTTTATTTAGATACTTCATGAGCTTCCGGTCCTTAGCTATTCATGATGACCATGTCCTTTTCATTTATGATCGATTTCATCACGAATTCCAGTAAGATATCTTTAATCATGTAAACGTTTCAAAGCTTAATCTAACAATTGGACAATATTACTGCTACACCCGGTATGTATACTCACAAGTTACACCTAATACTTTATGAAGGCGCTGAAATTTTCCCGAATTCATTCTCGAATTCATTTTTAGCAACAGAACAGTTCCTCGAAAGAAGTATAAGAAATTCTAGTTATTTTTTTTTAAAGAAATGTGTAAACGATTCGAACAAATCAAATGCTTTAGATTAATATTTTAAGGCATTTGGAATATTGTAAGGCATTTGAAATTTTGTAGAGCATTTGGAATATTGTAAGGCATTTGAAACATTCTAAGGCATTAAGTCATTTGAAATATTGTAAAGCATTTGTAATATTGTAAGGCATTTGAAATATTTTAAGGCATTTGGAATATTGTAAGGCATTTGAAATATTGTAAAGCATTTGTAATATTGTAAGGCATTATAATATTGTAAGTCATTTGAAATATTGTAAGGCATTTGTAATATTGTAAGGCATTTGTAATATTGTAAGGCATTTAAAATATTGTAAAGCATTTGGAATATTGTAAGTCATTTGTAATATTGTAAGGCATTTGGAATATTGTAAGGCATTTGAAATATTGTAAAGCATTTGGAATATTGTAAGGCATTTGAAATATTGTGATGCATTTGCAATGTTTGCTTAGGCGCCTCTATCGAAGGAACCGAATCTTTTCTTCCTGACTTTGGTCAACAACAATAAGTACAGTCAGATGCTTTCTGCCACAAAACCTGAATTTCAAGAACTCAAAATTCAAGCTCGGCCAGATCTAATTGTTTCCTGGAGTCCGGCCGCTCTAATTCTGTTTGTTCCGAATTTTATTAACCGTTCGGGGAATCCCTTTATTGCAAATTTGAGCATAAATTCGCAAATTTTATATCACTGGACATTTTATGCTTCCGTAATATTTTCATCATGCTAGACTTCGCGTATTGCTCAGTTTGTCACTGCCATAAAACTTTCTCCCTGGTTAGAAACACTTTAAGCAGAAAAGATTGATGACATCTCCCCCCACGTGTCTAGGAGGTGTTCGTGACGTGAAACATTTACAAGAAACAGTTTCAAAAAAACCAAAACAAAACTGATGAAAAGAAGGCAAATGAGGAATTTATTTTAACATCTTTCTAAGACTGACATAAGTGTGTCCGTGAAAAAAAAGATGGCGTCTCTATAAAAAGAAAACGTGTCAAATGGCGATAAACCCATAAATTTCTGATTCGCACTTGTGTTTGAACTTCACTTTACGCTTCTAATTCAATCTTCACCAGTGATTTGATTTGCGTAATTTCCTTAAACTAATTTGACCTTTTGTAGAGTTCCATTTAGTTTTACTCATACTATCGAGAGAATTAACTGTATCCGCTTCTTTCTTTCTTTCTTTTTTTCTTTTTCTTTCTTTTTTTCTTTCTTTCTTTCTTTTTCTTCCATCTTATATCCTTATACCGCCATCTTGTATCATACGCGGAAAGCCTCGAAATAACTAAGTAGTGAGATAAATTGACTCAACGTTTCGGCCGCCTTGCCACCGGTCTTCTTCAGATGTCTGTCGATACAGGATAATAGCGTTGGTTCATGAGTTTGGTGGTATAGTAATTGTAGGTTCAATACCTGGGTCAGATAGTATAGACTCAAACTCAGTGTAAACATGACTTAGCAGTACTAAAAAGGCTTGGTCAGCTTTAATTTTTTTACGGTTTATCAACCTTTTGTCGGTTATTTAAAACATATTTTGGATTGTAAGAATTACTCTCTTTTTCGCTGAGTGAAAATCGTATTACACAATTTTTAGAATTAACAATGATTTTTCTGCTATTTAACCCATAGATGGGGTAAAATTGATTGATTATTATACTTTCGATCTTGGTTCTCGAATTTCTCATTTCGAAGAGCTATCCATTACAGTACAACAACATCCAAACAAGATAGGTTATCCCTCAGAACGAGAACAACCAACTTCTGAAAATTAAATAAAAAAAGGTTAAATCGAAATTCCCAGAAGGTCAGCCGGATAGACAGACACCTGGAGAAGTCCGGAGAGCAGAACGGTCGAAATGTTTGGAATAACAATAAAGATGATATCTGTCTGATTGTAAATAAAGCGTAGAACAATCATAATGAGGACTGATGGATGTGCGGGGAAAATTAAATCGTCGAGTCGAGATCAAATCCCGGCCGAGTCCGCTTTGTTCATTTTCGCAATGTTGCCCTTCAGGAAAAGCATAAAAATCTCTTCTCTTCTCTGGTTCCTTGAACCTTAGATGGCAGCTAGTTCTTTGAGAAGTCATTCAAGACCGTGGAAAGTTAACGGAAAATCATCCCACTATCGTTTTATAAAAGTCCTAACTAGTGGGAGGTACGGTGGAGTAATGGATAGCGGCTCGGATTGAGGACTTGGAGAGCCGAGTTCTAAATGCAGTCCAATTTATTACATTACGTTCTAATACCCTTGGGAAAGATATGAATCCTCTTCTTCTCCCCCCAGCTATTGATAAATAGCAGGACAGACCGGGTTCTATAGCCTTGGATGGCAACTAATCTACTGTAGAAAGAAATGGCAACCTACTGCGGGAAAAAACTGCCTTGTCAGTCATGTATCGAAAGATCACACATGGCACATAACTGACTGATTTAGTTCCACCTACAACAGAAAAAGAAGCTGTAGAGAGTCATGATCGTTTACACCATGAGGGTCACGGCATTTAAAAGAAATAAGGATTGCACTTACTTCATTATTGAGGAGACTTCGAACAATATATTTTTTTTTTTATTAAGCTGGCCTGAGTTGAAAGCAAGGTCCTAATTGTGGTGCGCTCGCTAAGGATCGAACACTTTCTATCAGCGACCTACTTGGTATGCATACCTTTACAGTGAGGTACAAAAACAGAAAGATGTGTAAGACAAGGATGTGTCTTCTCACCGGACTTATTCAACCTATACAGCGATGCGATTATGAGAGAATTAGAAGTCCTAGCAGCATTGGCGGCTAGTATTTTAACAACATAATATATGCAGATGACATAATTCTAATAGAAGACACAGAAGGAAAATTACAAAAATTCCTACAAAAATTCCTAGGAAAGCAAGAAGAGAGGGTTAAACATTAGCTGCAAGAAGACAGACTGCATGGCTGTTAGCAAAAAGATGAGCCTAAAGTGCGAATTGCAAATCAGAGATACCAACATCAAACAAGTACAAAAATATCTAGGAAGGACGGAAAGTCAGACATTGAAATCCGACGGTGTATTGGACAAGCCAAAAATGGTTTTGTTTTACGGTATATCAACCTCAATGGTTTATTTAATGCCGACAAGATTTATATTGCTGGTAATATATTTTTTTTTATTCAAAATTTATTGTTGGTAATATTTTTTCTTTCAAAAATATATTCTGGTAATATTTATTTTCTTCAAAAATATATTGTTGGTAATACTTTTTTGTAAAAAAAATGAATGCTGGTATTAAAACCTATTCTTACAGTTTCATAGTGTCTTGACCCAGTTTGGGGGTTAACTATTTGCCCATAGAGGGGGCTCTAACAGTTGCTACCACTGCGGGTCAGGGTGGACCTGGAAACACCAGCATTTAAGAGGTGGTTCCACGGTCCTCAAAACCTCTTGAACAGAGGCCTTGCTGTCGGATGTAGTTTATCGTCTTACCCAAGACGCAGATGTAGTTTATCGTCTTACCCAAGACACGGATGTAGTTTATCGTCTTACCCAGGACGCGAATGTAGTATATCGTCAAACCCTAGACGCGGATGTAGTTTATCGTCATACCCAGGATTTAGTTAGCAAAAGGATGATCCCACAGTTCGAATTGAAAATCGGAGATATCAACATCAAAGCAAGTACAATAATATCTAGGAAGTTTCTTTACAGAGGACGGGCACTGAAATCCAAAGGCGTATTGGGATAGCAAAAGATGGATTTCAAATGTTACGCAGAGTACTAAGAGATAGAAAACTTCGCTAGGAACAAAGAAAAGAGTATTAAACTGTTACGTGATATCTGTTCTTCTGTGTGGCAATGAGTGCTGGAAAATCTCCTCAAAGATGAAGAGACTTGAAGCAACAGATATGTGGCTCTACTGAAGAATGCTGAGGATGACGTGAACATGTGAGCAACGACGAAGTTTTGGAGAGAATGGAAATAAAAAGGAAATTAATACTTAAGATCTGGTAAAGACAGTTGAGGTTTCTGGGGTACATAATAAGGAAAGAAGGCTTGGAAAATTTGATACTCACAGGACAGGTTGGAAGCAAGAGGGACAGTGGAAAATAATGCATAGAATACTTAGCTTGAGGAAATGGATGGCGGAACAAGGTTTGGGAGAAATAACAGAAAAAAACATTTAGTAGGATCTACGAATGACAAGAAGTTGTGGAGAGCCATGATCATTTATGCCCTGCAGGGACACAGCACATGAAAAAGATAATTTACTTTGGTAGAGTGTTGAACGAGGTATTTACTCTGTCTTTCCACTAAGACAAGTTGTGACACAAAATCTTTTTATAAGGTAGGGACCCGAGCGCATACACCCGGGCCAGGAACGAAAATTACCCGCAGTCCCCGCAAACGTCGGTTGCACTGACCTCGGTGCGAGTACCGATCCCTCTCTCTGGTGCAATGAGAGGGTGCGGCCTCGGGCAGCTGGTACCTCTCAGTATAATTTCCCTCGGTTGCGACCCTATCCTTTGACGGAGTCGCCCCCGAGTGTATTCTGCCCAAAGACAGAGACGCAACTGATAGATGATAAATAATGTGTTACAGACCACGAAAGAGAGGTTTACACACACAGAGCATTGAACTATTGTAATACTTCTATCCGCCTTTGTGGCAATAAATGATGTACAATTAACTTACAAGTGTAGAAGGGATGCAAATTATTTTACGCGCCGTGTCCCTTCTGGGCGTAAGCGATCATGGCTCTCCACAACTTCTTCTCCTCTTAGCAACATTAAAACTCTCCTTTCATCGCCCTATTCTGCAATCTTGTTCGATAGTTAGCACACTGTTTCTATCTCTGTTCTACTTGCTTTTCAGTATGTCTTGTGTGTGCCAAATTCTCCAAGCCCTCTTTCTTTAATATGTTTCCAGAAAATATCAGCTGTGTCTCTATGGTTATGAGTACGTCTCCATTTAGTTTCTCTCTTCCACATAACTCACATATTGCAATCATAGCATCCTTCTGCAAAATCACTTCTCTGTTGCTCCTCTCCATTGAGCAAATTGTGCACTCACACATTGATCATCTTTATATAACACTTCAACATTGTTTTTGTTCTTTTTGTCTTTAACGAAATTTAATATAAAAACGCCCTCGTTCCCATTGCTCATATGCTCCGTCATTTGTATTCTCAGCATCCTTCTGTAGAATGGTATCGCTGTTGTCTCATATTTACTCTTTATTTGCGGAGAAAGTTTTCAGCATCCACTGCCAAATATCAGGATTCATTTTTTAAAATCATTTCTTTGGAAAGCCGGACGAGAGAACAATAAGCGAGAAGTGCGAGTGAAGAAACTTTTAGCATTGAACTTGCGGCTTTATCTAGCCATTTCAGCTGATGATGAGACCTTACAGCCAATCTCCTCATCCCAGAAACCTAGAGAGAATTTCATAAGTTCAAGCACAGAATGAGATGGCAGGTCAGAAGCGATAATATTGCAGTTTCTTTTTTTCGGATTGCAAAGTCAATAATGGTGTTCGTTGTCTTTGAAATCTCAACCAGTTCCAGTTGATTCGTGGAGGAATTAAAATATCAAAAACGTTAGCTCTTCGATCAGAAATTAGATTTACTTAAAGTTCAAAATGGCATCAAATAAAAGAGCAATGGAATAAAATTCTTTGTTTATTTTAGACATATTTTAGCAACAAACTAAAATGATCTTTCACGAAGAAAATACCTTGAACCATGTTCTTTAAATTTGATTAAAATCAAATTTCCAATATCAAAAGGAATATTCGCATATGAAAATGATTGATTTTTTCTTACAGCTTATCAACCTTTTGCAGGTTATTTAAAGCCGGAAAATATTTTTAGATTAAGATTTTTTTTTTTTAGACAACAATGATTTTTACTGATACATGTTCTACTAATTAATCCGTAGGTGGGATGGCCAAGAAAATAGTTGATCATCTTATCTCTAAACTGACAACTACAACATGACTCACATTAGCTTCTAGATCTGCAGAGTATACTTATAAGTCAAAACTGATTCCTGCAGTTTCATTTAACAACCTTGTAGGATTAATTTGGAAAATTCATTTGCATTCTTTTGACAGTACTCTTCGTCATTGGGATAATCAAATGGTGTTAAGATCATTTTTTATAATTTTTGGTTTCTCATGTATCCTAAAATGTTTGCCTCCCATGTTAGACATTTTGACGGTCGTCTTCGAGTATAGACTCCAGAGGTTAGCAATGAATATTTCGGAGACAGTAGGAAAGCGTA